TATGCAACTTGATGTCAATGAAAAAATAGCATGTGGCATATTTAGAATGTTAATAAATGCATCTCTAATAATTTCATTCATAATTTATTAATGTAGCAAAATATGTTTACGGTTGTTAGAAACGTGCACTGCAGTCTGCGAATCCAGTCCAGAAAGAAATGATCGTTAAATGTGCACAAACATTTTTAGAGAAATAACTTTAAAGTCTGATGTTACATTTCCTATATTCCTACAAATGCATTGTTTATGGTTGAGATAGTTCATGCAAAATTGAAAATTCTGTAATTTAATTGCCCTTATTTATAAAAAAAAAAAACTTGTTTGACTTCTTTTTTATGTTGAACTAAAATGAAAAGCTGAAAACCTGTGTCTATTGCCTTTCTTAGTTAATGTATACAGTCAACTTCCATAGTCAATTTTTTTAACATTTTTTCAGCTTTCAAATTATCCTGTTTTGTGTTAAACAGAATAAAGAAACTCATAAAGTTATGAAACATCTTGAGGGTGATTGAGGGTAAACTATCCCTTTAACACAGTATCACTTTCTGGTGTCGTAAAAACAAATCACAATATATATTGATGAGAGAAGGTCATTTTAATACTTTTAGGGAACATTTTTCATGTTTAATGTTTTTTAAATAATTTCAACGCTTGTGTGCTGTTGGGGATTTTTTCATACATTTTGGGGTAATTTTGAGTCTTAATTTGGGCACAACTTTCTCTCTGTTTCAGAAAATAGTAAGATTTTTGGTGACAGGTCTTATTTTGATACATATTTTGGACAAATGCTTTGAAATTTTTTAAAAACTCAACAGTACACTCAACTGCAATTTGACTTTCAATTTGATGACATTTTTCGACTGCAAAGCCATGATGCCATATTATCATGCATTATTATTGTTAGTGGTTTTCCCTGTTGGGAAGAGATCACATTTTTAATTGATCATCAGTTGCAGTGCAAAAAAAAAGCTCAATTTCTGGCTTTTGTATGGAGTGTAGTGTGTGTGTGTGTGTGTGTGTGTGTGTGTGTGTGTGTGTGTGTGTGTGTGTGTGTGCGTGTGTGCATACATGCATGTGTGTGTGCCTTGTCTGCAAAAATAAAAAAAATCACCTTAGCTCCTAGAACATAGTAAATATATGTATGCACACACACACTATGCATAGCTTCATGTAAAAGTCAAAAACTTTTTTTGCACAATTCCGGTGATATTTAGAGTTAATAGTGCTAACTGATGACCAATGGTAAAAGTTTTGAATTGTAATTATCAACAGGGAAAACCACCAACAATCAAGAATGAATAATTATTTGGTGTCATGGCTTTTTAAAAAATGTCATTATAATGTAAGTCAATGGGGCCAAAACAGCCACAAACATAACGAAAGAGTAGATTTAAACAATACACGTTAATATATAAAACAAAATATACCATATAATCAGATCTCTGTGTGGAGCACTGGCTGGTGTCAGACTCTTTGTTCAAAGAAAAATCAGTCCCACTTTATATTGTAGCTTATACCTGTGAACTTACATAATGTCTAAGTAGTATTTAACTACAGTGTACACACTGGTACATAGTATTTACTTGTGTAATACTGGTTTAACTATTCACATGTAACAACACACAATAGTATGCGTAAGTTCAAATGAGTAACAGTACATTAGTAACAACACTAAAGTACTAAAGTATTAATGTGTAATATATTAAACCTAAACCGTTGTGGAACTGTTTAACTGCAAACTCCTGCCAAAAAGTTTAAGTGTATATAGAAATAACAAATGCCTTATGTTTATATGTTGTTTTAAGGTAAATTGTAGAATCACATTAGTAATTCACATTAAAGGAGTAGTTTACCAAAGATTTTGTTATTAATGTCCTGTTACACATTTGAAGTTACATATACTATTGTGTGCTGTTACATGTATGTAGTTACACCAGTAATACACAAGTAAATACTATGTACCAGTGTGTACATACACTGTAGTTACATACTACTTACACATTTAGTTACAGTGTAAGTTCACAGGTATAAGCAACACTATAAAGTGGGACTAAAAAAATCACTGAATAATTAAAATTAATGGCAAAATAAATGTTTGGAATTGTAGTCATTCTGTGATTATTTTGGGGAAAGTAACTTAAAAGCAATACAAAAGTAGTGTAACACATTTCATTTCAGAGACAGTAATATTGTAATGTAACTAATTACAACAAAATGACAGTAACGACTAGTAATATATAACATATTACTTTTTGAAAGTACATATTACATTTTGGAAGTATTTTCCATTTGCCGTCCCTAATGAGCATTGTGTGCTGTGGTGATGTTTTGCAGCTGAACCCAAAATAATTTGTATGAAAAATAAAATATATAGCTTGTGCTTTTGTACATTATGAAAGGGGCTGTGTATGTGAAGCTTTAAGTGATTTGATAATCGGAATCATATCCATTTATAGAGATGCATTTATGTGGTTAAATGTAAATTAATCCATTTTCAGAAATCAGAAAAAAATTGTATGATTATTGACTTCAGTTGGTGCTCTTATTTTGTACACTTATGACAGTACTATGGCTTCCCACTCATCCCAGATAGCAAAATTTATCTGGTGCACCTCTGGGTCATAACCTGGCATATATTCCAGATCACTATATGTCTGGGTCATCGGACCAGATCTGGTACGGGCACTATCAGACAGATCTGTCTTATAGTGCCTTGCTTCATCAGGGTGACATACAGGTGTGACTGGATTTCACAAACAATCAATGTGTCACATGATGTGATTAACAGTACAGAAAATTATATGACTCTGAGTTAGACTTGTAACTCAAAGCTAACAGGTTTAATTCCTAGTCATTGAGTTGATATAGGGGTGTTGAATGAACTGAACTCTCCATCTATCAAGCTGAGGTGCCTTTGACCTAACCCATAATTGCTCCCCTGGCACTGAAAGCAATAGCTACTCACTGCTCCGTGTGTGTGTGTTTGTGTGTGTGTGTTTGTGTGTGTGTTTGTGTGTGTGTGTGTGTGTGTGTGTGTGTGTGTGTGTGTGTGTGTGTGTGTGTGTGTGTGTGTGTGTGTTGCCATGTGAATAAAAGCTGTGATTACATTTGCCATAACAAACAAACACAAGCTAGAAATACATTAAAAAAACCTCATCATCGTAGGCTTAGGTGTAAGATCATCAGAAGCGTACACCATTTAAGAAGTTTTACCACAGACGCAAATTGTTAGGGAACCAACAGTATTAACGCACAAATGACCAGTGTGTTAGATGAAGAAGACTCTGAGTACAAAGATTCAATCAAAGAAAGCTTATTGTGGATAGTTTGCAGTTTTCTCAGCAGAAGCCAGCTTCAACATTCACACAGAGTTCATAAGCCGCTCTGCTTACAATCTCAAAACAACAACAATTATACTCTAACATGCTTTACTAACTGTGTAATACGTATATGTGTTTTAACCTGGTTGGTTAAGACACAGATATACTTGGAAAATGTCCACGTGTATGTACAATTTAGAATAATATTTCTGATGATTGCTTAGGTGTCACACATACAAAGATTAGACCTAACAGGAGGACAATTCTGTGATCAAAATGATCAGAAGTGAAATTCAGCTCATCTTCATCCCTCCACTAATGAAGAACATGCACACACAAGGAATACCTATCTATTTCAAGGCTATCATGTATTCTATCTTATCAGGATAGTGACATAAACATGGCAGAATATTACAAAGACAGCTAAGACAAATCACTATCAAAATTCACAAACATCTAGTGACAGCTCTTTAAGTAACATCAAACATCCAGTTACACATGTGAGATATCAGTGACATTTTGAATGGACCTGAATATCCTGAGGAAACCAATTTTACTCTGAAAAGGGATGACACTGGGTCATCATATAATCTAGGCTCTTAAGCATTCATTTTGTTAATAAACATACAATCATAAAAAAGGATTTGTGTCACTCCATCCTGCAGTGGACATCCATCCAATCCACTCCTTTCAGAACATAAGCAATGTACTACCAAAAGCTATTTATTCCTGCTTAACCCTGCAAACATCCTGATAACTGTGACTAATCATCAAACATTTTAAAACACAAGCAAATTATTTAACCTAAGTAGAACAGCTTTTCACTGAGTGAATCCTCCTTTGCTGTGGGGAGAGGGAGACTGCTTGAGCCGAGACCGACCCATAGAGAAATATACGTAAGCCCATTATCTACTCAGTGATGCTGAGACTGAGCCGATTGACAGTTCTGCATTTTAGCCAGAAACAACCCAAAAACTGCTTGGATGTATTATGGATTGTCAGATCACCTCTAAAACAAACTGTGTGCTTGTTTTTATTTTATTTCAATTTTAGATTTTAAAACTCAACACAGACGAGTCTACCCCTTGACTGTAACCAGGAAGCAATGTCCTTACCAATAGGGTGACCCATACATTCAACCATTCCCACTAGCTATTCCATTGACTCATTACCCTTCTTTATACTTGGTTGTCTCAGTTCACATTCTTTTAATTGACAAATGGACAAATTAAAATACATACACGAGGAAATAAATGTAAAACAATAGTTTATTTTATTTTATAATATATATATATATATATATATATATATATATATATATAAATTATTATTATTATTATTATTATTATTATTATTATTATTATCATTATTATTATTGTTATTATTATTATTATTACATTTATTGTACATTTTAGTTAGTATTTTTAATGTAGTTAGACTTAGCTTCCCAGTTCTTCACACAAATACCTAAGAAACTTACCTTTGGCCTATTTTTATGCAAGTCTGAAAACAAGGAACTATTAAAAGTAAATGATAAGAATGGATACTACATTTTGACAGCACGTTTCTTTTTTTTAAGTTTATGGAAATACTCTGTAGTTGTTGATACAGACACTAGAGAGCACACGCGTTCCTCTGCGCTCTGCTCCTTCTCAAAATCTCACTAAGGAAGAATAACACAGGGCCGCCGCTGAAGCAAAATGGCCGATCTGGAAATGGATTTACAGAGTAAGCGACTGAATAACGGGTAAGAACACGTGCGTGGTGTAACACCAGCAATAAAGCATTTTAAAGTCTGGAATCCGAATAGGTTGTTTAGGGAAAATTGTCGTTGTGTCTTTCTCGTGGTGAGCTACGAGGACTTTGACATCTAATTGTTCTATCATGCTAGTGTTAGCATGCTAATGCTAAGTTACCTTGCAAACGAAGTCACCCACCAAGATTCATTTTTAGAAATCATTTCGTTAAACTTAATAGATTCTGGGTTTTAAAACCTTGAGGTCTGACATTCGTTAGACAATCGGTTTCATACCCATTAAATTGCTCGTTTCATTATTTGAGCTTTAAGTCAGATATACACAAGTAATTTGAAAATAAACGCAAACAGAATAGCACAGTGCATAATTTAAAGATCCGTTAGATCCAAAACAACCGTCTGCAAAGTATTCTGGAGAATATTTAACATACAAATACTAAAATATTAAGCCTTATAACAGTGCATTGAATAAAACACTTTTCTGAGTTGGTTAACTTGCAGGGTTTATAGTAATGGCATACATAGTGATTTATATGAATTTTACAATTAATTATTAATATAAATATCTATCTCTTCATAATATTGGAACCAAGGCAGTCTCAATAATAATATATTTACAAAAATAAAATTCATACGTACATCATTATTCACATTTACAAAATACAATGGGCTATATGATCAGCTAGTGTTTTTCAGCCACTGATAAACTTTCGGTGATAAGTTTATGTGACTATTTTCTATTTCTTAAGTTTCCATTTGTGTATGTAATTAGCTTTAATCATAGATATCAGGGAATTTAATATTTGGCTTGGAACCATGGCCATTCTTCATGCTGGAGAGGATGAGACTGCGCAAAAAATGTGCATAGTAGACCACCTTGGAGTTTTCATCTGATTGGCGGAAGTGTAGGAGTGACCTACTTGCTGCCAAATTTAAAAAAAAAATACACACAAATCCAGGGTGATTCATATATGATAGAGGATTTCTCATTTAGCATGATCCTACAATTTTTAAACACACAAAACTTTTGGTACACTGACATACATTTGTAAATGGTGTTTTGCATTTACTAAACATATTTTAAAAGTGTGCATTTAGATTTGTGCATATGAAATGTTATATATACTTATATATTGATGAACAATATATTGACGGTGATATCGGCCGATCAAAGCTATTTTTAATTAATTGAAATTATATTTCAATAATTCAAAATATTTTAATAATTGACATTGCATAACAAATTATTACAATATCTTTCATATCTTTCGAAAAAAAATTTAACAATACATTTAGGAATATTAGGATTTTTTAGCCACTTTAGTTCAATTTACCAAATTTACTTGAGCAAATAGTTTTAATAGTCAAAAACAAAAATATTTAAACAAAATATCTCATCTCTTTAAAATTAACTTAAGTGTTAAAGGGACTCCTAAACTTGATAAATAAAATGTTTTAAAGGGTTGCAATGGTAAGGGTAGATCAACATCTGCAAGGGGTCAATAATAATTATACAGTAAACCTCAAAATTGTAAACAACACAAATTATGATAATCAAATCTGAGCTTTCATGTAGAGCACAGGTGTCAAAGCCAGTTCCTGGAGGGCCGCAGCCCTGCACAGTTTAGTTCCAACCCTGCTCCAACACACCTACCTGTAGGTTTCAAACAAGCCTGAAGGGCTCAATAAGTTGGATGAGGTGTGTTTAGTTAGGGTTGGAACGAAACTGTGCAGAGCTCCGGCCCTCCAGGAACTGGCTTTGACACCTGTAAAGTAGAGGAACCAGGCATCATTATTCAAAAACATATTGCAACATTACAACTTGTGAAGTTGAGTGAATTTAATACCCCCTATGCTACAAACTCTCAGATAGGGTGCTAGTGGCTGGGATGCACAAGAAGCCAAAAACCACTCTTGAGACATTCTTAAATAATTTTTTTAATTTACAATCTCCTCACTGCTGCTGTACGGGCTGCTATACGGCATTAATTTTTACATGTGTTGTTATTCAAACCAAGCTCGAGCATGTGATTTCCTTCACCATTTTCTATGTCGCCTCGTAGCTAGGAGACCATCAGCTGTTTTTTCCAGAGCATGACAAACGGACAAACCATTAATACAGCTCCGCTACAAATTTATGGAGAAATGTAAAAAAAACGGCAGTGTTTGAATGCGTTGTGTTTGTCTGAGGTAATTAGTCCGCCGTTATTACTGAAATGTATATATTCCATGCAAAGTGTGAAGCAGATTGGTTAGTTCTACTTGCATGAATCACGTTGCGCTTGCAGCATTCAGAAAAGTGTACTACTAGGTGTACCTGGAAAATGCACACTTTACTTACACTTTAAGATTATTGACTTTGCTTTCAAGGTGCACGCTCAGCAGCCACATTTTGATAAATATGTAGCCTTTATACCAAACTTTTTTTTTTCTTTTCAATATTGACTGGTGTTTGGGCAACAAATACAGGTACCGATTTTATCGTCAAGCCCTATTTTTAATGTTATCGGTCATCAGACTGATATCAAAATTAGGCCAATATCTTTAAGCCGATAAATGATGTAATAATGCCTTCCAGTGGCATAAAGGGTATAAAGTTTCCAGTTCGGCTTACTACAACGGAGCTTTCCTCACATTGTTTATTCCTGCAAAAAGTCCTTTCTTTCTTTGGAATGGCTGTAGGTTAATAACTCCGTAAGTAACCATGTTCTTTAATATTGTAGATATAATTGAAAGTGTCATTGTAAATTTTGGTTTAAATTGCCCCAGGAAAAAATATAACCTGTCAAGGGCGTACAATAGCAGCAATGCACACGTGCTAAACAACTTGTTGAGTTGTTTTTAATCTAAGATGATTATTTGTTCTTGTTAACGCGTTGCTTGCCATGGGTGTTGATGTAAGATTGTATTTAGTTTGATTGCCATATTTATAATGATTATTACGAGGCACGTGATGCGCACATGTTTAGTGATCCGACAAATTGTTCACAGTAGCCATGCTTATCTGATTAATAAATACGTGTTATTAATGAAAATGTGTTGTTTAACATATTTGTATGTTAAGGGGGCGTACCAGTGTAATGTATGCTTATTTGTTATTTTTTTAAGTGTATTTAAAAGCTTTTTAACTTATTTAATGATCTACTTAATTTTTATGACATTTTATTTTAGAAAGTATCTCAAATCAATGCTAAATTAGGTGTTAAGAATTATTTCAAGCATTACGTGATGCAAAAGTGTGGCACAGAAAAGGATTTAAAAGGTGACTGCGGGTCCAGACAGGACCCCCGCCAAAACTGATTAGCCTTAATGTTTTTTTTTTTTTTTTTTTTTTTTTTTTATGTAATTGAAAAGCAAATGTAGTTGGCATTTACCTATGCAAAGAAGAAACAAGTTCTTTCTTGGCGGAGGCCTCGCCACCTGCAAATACCTGTTTCTCTGTGATAGAGGCATTTTCTTCTTGTTTTGTCCAGTTGAGTGCAGCGTGACCTCAGGTCTCATCATCAGTATTTGCTAACACGGTTACACATGGGATAATTGTTTTTGGTTTTCTCATAAGAACTAGTTTAATTTTAGACACAGCATTTCCATTTTGAATAATAAATTAAATATTTTGTTACGAATAAAAAAAAAAGGTTACACTTTAATTTAGTTTTAACTATTCAAGTTGAATTATTTTTAATGCTGTTTCTGGCTGTTCTGAAAACAGTTTTTTTCTCTTTTTTTAGAGGTAAGAATTAAATCTCAAATTATAAAGTTTTTTGTAAAATTAAATCTTAAAAGATACTGTAACAGCAGAATGATCAGTGATTGATAGATTGTAATATTTAGATGAAGAGGCTATATGGTTACAATTTAGAGTCGATAAAAATAGTCTGTTGTAGAATATTATTTTATAAAAAATAATAATAATAATTCCTGACATTTATATAGCGCTTTTCTGGGCACTCAAAGTGCTTTACACACAATGGGGGGAAATCTCCTCATCCACCACAAGTGTGCAGCATCCACCTGGATGACGCGACGGCAGCCATTTTGCGCCAGACCGCACACCACACACTAGCTTCCCTTCCAGCTGCTACCCAGCACTGGGAAACATCCATACACTCTCTTTCACACACATACAATAGGGACAATTTAGCTTACCCAATTCACCTGTATTGCATGTGTTTGGACTGTGGGGGAAACCGGAGCACCCGGAGGAAACCCACGCCAACATGGGGAGAACCCAGTCGGGGCTCGAACCAGCAACCTTCTTGCTGTGAGGCGACAGTGCTACTCACTGTGCCACCGCGCAACCTTCTATTTAATGTATTATCACATGCACTAAAAGCATTCTCTCCTGATACTGTCTGTGAACCCCCCACAAGCATCAATCCCCTCAATCAGCACAGCTATGTTCTGCTAAATCCTCCACAAGCACCAAACCATCAACACAGCCACATTCTGCCCCAGCAAGTCAGTTTCAAACATAAAAAACAAACAAACAAACAAACAAACTTTGTGTCTTTTTTGTGGCAGGCAGATGATAATAGCAGGGCTGTATCTTTTAGTATTATATAGAATACTTTTGTTCTGCCAGATCTCCCAGGCAGGATTTTATTTAGATTTATTTAGTTAATTTTAGTTTTTGGAATTCTGTCCATTGGAAAGAAGTTCTTTCAGAAGAAGAACAGTTTTTTGAAGTATTATTTGTTTTTATTCTGTCTATTCAGTGTCCTTCAATTATTATTGCACAGTTATGTGCAATAATACATAGGTAGATACATATAGTACACTGTTAAAAGTCTTTTTTTTTTTTTTTTTTTTTTGATAATGACTAAAAATTGGTTTTGAAAAGCAGTACATTTAGTTTTTTGTTTGTGTTAACTACATGTTCAGGGTTAAACTAAATAATTGTACCAGGAGTTTTAGAGTTGATAAAGCAGTTATTGTGAGTAAATGTAACTGAAGGAATGGCTGATTAAGTAAAAATGTTTACATTACACAAAGTAAGGTGTTTTGTATTCATTCATAAGAAACAAATTAGTAGTAAAAACTGCAATGTAACTTTTTGAAAAGTTTATTTATTTTTGCTTAACCAGAAATAAATTTTAAAAAATCTTGCCATAATACAAATATTTTTGTAAAGCAACCCAGGTATTGTTGTAGGCAGTACTGTATGAGATACAAACAGAAGAAAGTGATGAAACAAAGTTTGATTTAAAAAGATTATCGTATCACACTTGCCCAAATATGTCACAGAATTTTTAAAAAGTATCTGCACCCTCGCCAGATAACAGCATCCTGCCTTGCCACACTATTCTTTGGTGTCAGGAATAATGACTTCAAGTCATTTCGCACTGCAAGTGCAGCTTTGGATGCCCAGGTAGTCGAAAGCCTTTTAGGTACAAGCACGTTGTTGTCTCTATAAACAAACTGTCTCCATTCACCCAGAACTTTCCCTAAATCTGTGTTGCTGTCTTGGAAGTTCGATGGAATTAACTTGTTCGACAGAGAGGTTGCAGCATCAGTGTGTGTGAGAAAGTAGTGAAGTCCACACAGGCCTTCACAAAATCCACATCCACAGGTACTTTGTCATCGCAGACAGTCATAAGCACAATGAAGTGAGTTCCTTTTGTAGTTGTAAAAATCACTCCCGGCATTTGGTGGTGTTTTGACATTTACATGTGTTCCATCCATTCACCCCAAACAATTTGGAAACTTTCAAAGCCACCAAAAGTTTTGTTTGCAACAACGACTACCCCCCCAACCCCAACTCCCACTGAACACCATATATTTTATTTTGAGAAATATTTAAAATATTTTGGACTAGTAGCTATTGATTTAGAGGTTCCTTTTCTGCTGAAGATTCTGTTGCCCTAAAAACTAAGTGAAATAGTTGGAACAACATGAAAAAAAAAAACTTACATATACTTCAGGAATGGTATAACCTTGCGAGCGGTAAACCTTGAAAGCGGTTCTCGTCCCATGTCTAATTGGAAATAAATAGCCTATGCCAGAGAGGCATTTCTGAAAAACGATTTAGTCCATGTTTTCAATTTGTAGTCTAAATGTTTATTTAAGTTAAAAGTATTTAAGGCAGGCCTATTTATTATTTTTATTTATTGAATTCTTTTTTTCTATGCTGTTGAAAACATGAAGCATGAAGATTTGACAATGTTCCGTTTTTATTATATGTTATTGTTCACATATAAAAATAGCCCAAACAAATATTACAAAATGCAACAGGCCAATTTAAAGTGTCAGACACAAAGACACATGATTTTTTTTTAATAAATGATAACTTTATATTAATCTAGGTTGCATTTCCCAAACAACGACATACAGTAACTCACGACTGAACTATCATAGTACAATGTATTTTGCTTTTTGGGGAAAGAACGATGTGGTGACGAGTGTTTCGCAGATCTGTCATTTGAACCACACTAGATATAATTTAAAACGCCCATAAGGATTGTTTTGTAATGTATTGTAATCTCTTATATAAATCATAAATAAATAAATGAGGCTATTTATTAAGAAATTTATTTTGATATTTATTATTTGATAGGAAATGAAAAAAATCCTACTTCAATAATAATAATAATAATAATAATAATAATTGTTATTAAGTAGGATATTGTTTTTTTTTTTAATTAATTAATTTATTTATTTATTTTAAATTCTACAATTTGACACATGCAAACCAATGCAGAATTGTTCTAACCAACAGGCCAATATCATAAAGTACAGATACTTCATAAATAACCAGCTTTTGATTAACGTATGGTATATTTTTTGTTATCACAAGCTTTGGAGATGTAACATAAATTCCACTTTTAAATAATAAGTCACCTATAGCTTTTGCCATTAGCCACAGCTGTGTTTGAAATGATATCAATGTTTTCAAAGTGCACTACGAAGAGAAATCAATTGTCAACATGAAGATCGCTAAAACTAATCTGTAAAAATAGGCTACTTTGAAAGCAAATTACTCCTAAGAGAGATGACTTTAAAGTTTTTTTTTTTTTTTTTTTTTTTTAATCATTCCAAATTTACATTTTGGAATCTTCTAAATGAATAGGGCATAGGGGTATAACTGGCAATAGAACACAGTCAGGAACTATGTTTCTAACTACAGCTCCAGAGGTGTAGTTACAAGTATACAAGTTTGCAATGCAGTTTGCGAATGTTCGTTGGAACGATGAATTTGGGAAACGGTTATCAACACTGTGTTTGTAACGACGGAACTTGTGACCTTAGTTGGCTAACAATGGTTTTGGGAAATGCACCCCTGATTGGTTAAAAGTTAATATTTGGTTAATGAGCAACAGTTGGTTGCAACAATTATTTCAATAGATTAAACAGCCCTCTAACTGGGTAATTGTTATTGCCATGAACGTAAACAGAAACTGTAATTTACAAAGAATGGTAGAAACCAGGCTCTCTTTCTTTTCTTAAAATGCACGTTTATTGTCGATTTAACTACTGTTGACTGATTTGCAGCTTTTAGTTTTGAATTTGATTGATTAAACATACATTTGTATGTTTTGTAACAGCAACTTTGTTTGCTTATTAAATTGACAAGAATATAAAAACAATAGTGCAAAAAGTGTTTCATACTAAAATGTCTTGGACCAGCTGCTCCATTGATAGACACAAATCATCAAAACTATTGGCAAAGATTTTTGCAGATAATTGACAGTTTCAGAAAATAGTTGGTGCTGATTAAGCTGCAAAACTGATACCCCGGTCATCTTCTAGTTGTATTAACTCAGCAACTATAAAATTTTCACAATAAATGGATTTTAAAAGGAAAATATACTATTTACTGTAAGTCATTATAGTATTTTTTTTTTTTTTTGGGTAAAGAAAGTTTACGTTTTGGGCATAATTATGTGTGTTTTAAGGAATAGTTCAGCCAATAATTAGAATTAAGCCACAATTTACTCACCCTTTCTATCAGGCGAACACAGTTGGAGTAGTTTAAAATTTTATTCTGGCTTTTCTATGACAGCTTACATTGGTATAGACCCTATAATGGTGTTGGATATTGCCCATTTTTTAAGCTTCTAAAAGCAGTTCAACAAACTTACTTGCTTTGAGTTGTATCAGTTGTGCTCATTACTGTGTTTGTGTTTATTTAAAGGCCAGAGAATTTGGAGAGTCCACAGAAGAGCGGAAATGAGGATGAAAATGGTGATATATCTGGAGAGGATGAAGAAGAGGGTGAGGAGGAAGTGGAGATGAATGGAGAGAAGCAGGACATCAGTTCTAAACATCACAGCAGCAAACACAAAAAAAAGAAACACAAGCATCGCAGCAAGCACAAAAAACACAAACATGCTTCTGAGGAAGATAAGAACCGCAAACGAAAACATAGGCGCAAACATAAAAAGCACAAGCGCAAAGAGGAAGCATCCTCCTCGGCCATCAGCAGGAAGGCTGAGGATGGCTCCATGTTACTAAGTAGTGCAAACCTCGATGACAAGGCACTTCTTGAAGATCTAGAGAAACAAAGGGCATTAATTAAAGCCGAGCTAGACAGCCAGATGATGGAGGGTAAAGTTCAGTCAGGAATGGGCCTGATTCTACAGGGTTACAATTCTGGCTCAGAAGAGGATGAAGAGAGACAAAGGGCACGTAATGGGGAACAACGGCAAAACAGTAGTGGGGGCAGAACACGTTCACCTAGGGACCAGATTGGTGGAATGGGTAGATCCAGACGAGACTTGGACACCAGCAAACCAAGTGCTAAACAGCAAAGTCACAGTCATTCTCGAGAGAGAGCAGGAAGGGATTCAAAGCTTGAACGAGCAACAAAAAGTGCAAAAGAGACTGTTAAAGAGCGCAGCAAGTCCAAAGAGAAAAAGCGTTCACGGAGCAGGGACAAATCCAAGGATCGTGGAAAGAAGTCTCAGTCCCCATCTATAAGAAGGCACTCTGCAGACAGAAAACCAGACCAGAAAGGCCGTCCTGATCGGCGCTCCTCTCCACATATGGATGAAAAGCGTGAACAAGCTAGACAGAGATCAGACTCACAAGGGGGTAAAAGCCAGTCGCAAGGTTCTAAAGATGGGCAAAATGTGGGCCGATCTGAGAATGACAGAGAAAAGAGGCCAGGAAAATCTCCGTCCAAAGACCCCTCATCTGGGAAAGAGAATAGATCACCTCAACAACGGCCAGCTCTTAGCCCACAGCATAGACGCAGTTCCTCCCCACGCCACAGGGATCGACAGTCTAATCAACCCCGCTTCAGTTCTGTGGATCGAAGTTCCAAACTGAGCCATTCGCCATCTAGGAATAGGTCACTGGCCAGGAGAGCACGAAGCCGCTCAAATGAGCGCCGGAGAGATTCTCCTTCCAGGTACACACCAGTACACAGACTTTAACATTCCTAATCTCATTATTTTCTCATCCTTATGATGTTCCAAAACTGTATGGATTTCTTCTTGAATACAAAAAAAAAGATTGTAAGGCAGATAAAAGTCATAAGATTTCACAGGGCTCCAGATTAACATTTGAGAGTGCCACCAAGTTGTATACCAAGGTGGCACCAGTGAGATAAAAAACAAAGAAACATTTAACTGATGTTTAATGTATTATTAAACTGTATTAACAAATCAGTTTAAACGCTATTTCAAGTCTAAACAAAACTGATCCATAAACAACTCAATCGGAATAAAAGAGCCTAAACCGAATGAGTTTTAATCGGTTTGTGAGGAATGAGATAATCATTTCTTTTACCTTTTTTCTATTAAAATAAGCCATGTAAAGCATTAAACTAAATGCAACTACATGATTTTTATTTTATTTTTTATTTTTTTTACAAAGGAAGGAGGCTAAAACCTATAAGCAACTATTAAAAAAATGTGTCGAGTCAGCTTGTTTACCTGGAGATGATAAATTGGCAGGTAAGAAAAGCAAAAACTGAGACATGCATTTATTTTTATCTAATTATCCCAGCGACTGCCAACTGCATAACTGCCAACACTCCTGTTTTTCCCTCGAGTCTCCTGTATTTCAGACCCATCTCCAGCCACCCACCCATTTTGTTATTAATCCCAGAAAACACCTGTAATTTCAGTGAAACGCAAGCTCACAAACGCATTAAAATCCGTAAACAAATCAGCACGTGTCTCGTTTTCAACGTGGCTTTAGATGCGATCTGAGAATATAAAGAGTTAACCAGATACAGTACACACAGTTACAATTAAAAAACTCACTTAAATACATAATTTGCCCGCTAGAGAAAACAATGAAGCAACCATTTGCTTACATTTGTTAAATGGAGGAAGAAACTGATCCATAAGCTGTGTACTGATAAAGTTCCTGTCAAGCTCTGTCAAAGTGTCATACATCAATAGTCTTTTCTGATCCTTCTTTTAACAAACGTCCGACAAATCCTCCGTTGTAAGTGTGAAGATTGCAGAAGCATGCGTCAGATAAATGATGGGAACAGCACAAGGCTGGGCTATAATGCTTAGGTATTTTTGCAAAAAAAAACTCAACCACTGACTATACACTTTTTTTTGTTATCTTTTTAAATGTTTTATCTACCTTATCTTTTAGGTATAGATATCAGGTCACATATATAATCAGGTACAGAACCATGAACAGCTTTATAAGTTAAAATCAAGGTTTTTAAATCGATGTGCAACTTAACAGGCAACCAGTGTAACTGCTTAGGTACAGGGGTAATGTGAGAGCGAGATGATGTGTGGGTTAACACGAGTTTCGAACATATTATAAGATCTTAAGTTAATTGGCTGGCAGATCCCCAAATAAAGAGTTTCAAAAATCTAAATGAGACGTAATAAAAGTATAGACAAGCTTTACAGCATCTGGTGTTGAAAGAAAAGGACGGATAAAATGCAGTTTTTGTTAACTGTTTAAAATGAGGTTTCAGGCTAAGCTAAGCATCAAAGAGGACACCAAGATTTCACACCTGCATAGAAGAAGTTAAAAGAGATTCATTGACTTTTAACTTGAGATTGCCACGTCTTGTAACATTAAGGGGTGTGCCAATAAGTACAATCTTGGAGGTGTCAAAGTCTTGGAGGTGTTTAATTTGAGATAGTTTTTTTTGCATCTAGGCTTTAATCTCCACCAAGCTAGCGTTAAGTGTCGACAGTGAGGCAGATAGATTAGGAGATGTACTAATAGAAATCTGTGTGTCGTCAGCATTGCAATAAAAATTAATGCCATATTTTTGTAAAATTTTTCCAAGAGGTAACATATAAATGCTAAACAAAAGTGGCCCGAGTACCGAACCCTGTGGGGACACCGTGACACAGAGGGACAGTCCGCAATCTATGATCTCCCAAATAAATGAACTCCGAGCGTTCGGTGAGGTAGGATATGAACCAATTTAGTGCTCTTCCAGCTAGGCCAACGCAGTCTCAAAGTCTGTCTAATAGTAAGCTGTGAGAGATTGTGTCAAATGCTGCAGTTAGATCCAAGAGCACCAGGATACCACAAGACCCAGAGTCAGCAATCATAAGAAGGACATTAGTGACCTTAACTAAGGCTGTTTTCATACTGTGACCCGATCTAAAGCCCGATTGAAATAAATGAAATAAGGCATTTACCTTAAGGTGGTTTTGTAGTTGACTGGCAAACTTTCGCTAAAAAAGGTAAATTTGAAATGGGCCTATAATTTGATAAATCAGTGGAGTCACAGCCAGGTTTTTTAAGGATTGGCTTAACAGTAGCAGTCTTCAGCGTGGTTTCTATTGACCCTGTTCTGAGTAAGGCATTCACAATAGCTGTGATATGGGGCACAAATAGTGATATACAGTTTTTTAAAACAGAGGTAGGAAAGGGATTAGGTATGCAGAATGATGAAGTCATTGACATAAGATTCTTTGCAATAAGAGTATCATCAACAGCATTAAAAGATGAAAAACTCGGAGCAGAGAGAGGAGAAGATAAAAGCTCAACATGCAGAGAATTCGCATCACAGGCAGTAGAGGTAAAAATATTATCAACCTTTGTAGTGAAAAAGTCTAGGAATTCATTACAGATCTCATTAAGATGCAGAGGTGAATTTTTTGGGAGGTTCAGTCAAATTACTAATTGTTCTAAAGAGAATTCTAGAATTGTAATTGTGACTACAGATGATGCAGGAGTAATATTCCCTTTTAGCAACATTCAGAGCATTATGATACTCTGATTGGTGCTATTCGAACATTTTTTGGTGTATTATTAAACCAGACTTGCTATACTTTCGCTCCAATTGCCTGTTTGCAGCTTTCATTTTTTGTAATTCCTGCGTAAACCACGGAGATGACCTTTTCAGAGCAGCGATATCATTAAGAACAGATTTAAAAACATCATTATACTGATCAGCTGTGGACATAGGTAAACCTTCAATGTATAAATTCAGCTGGTCAGTGTTGATATCATCAAGTTTCCTAAAAACAATAGTTTGTTTGAAAGTGGTCTGAGATGGTTTTGTGTACAGATCAAACGTAATAAGTTTATGGTCACTGAATGGCATTGTAATCGCTTGGGGTGGTTGGATTTTTACTCCAGAAGTGCATACCAAGTCTAGTGTGTGACCACATTTGTGTTATTAACTTTGCACTGTTTTGCACAGGATACATGGTATAATGCTGTGTGAATAGTTATGTTAATGTACAAACAAAAATTTAAAAAAGCGACTTGTTGTCTACATATCACTTCAATATGACTGTGGACACAAAATGAAGGATAAATCAGTACATGCGAATGTCAAGGCCCCAATGTAATCGCCCCAAGAGGGCACTAAAGCCTACTGCTAGAGCAGCAGTGGAGAAAATGAATTGCTTAAGAATAAAAGCCAAGGGAAACTGTCAATTTTAGCTTACAAAACAAACAAAATTGACAAATTAATGCAAGATAATGATGTTAAAGCGGTTGAAAGAGAATTGGATGTTTTTTTCTATAGTTTATGTCATTTAAAAGGCTGAATGCTGAATAATTGCTAATGTGTTTTTGAAAAGACCGAAAATATTGTCTTTTGCACATTGCATTATTGCTCAAGTAAAAAAAAAGTCTGTGTTCAGTGTCCACATGAAAACACAAAAATGCATTCTGATGCATCTGATGCATGTTAAGGGCACACAGAACAGGCAGGTGGAGGTAACACCCCTTTTGCCTTGTTAACATGTTGTGTCTCCCGCATTTGGTGTGAACCCAGCTAGACTGGCCAATCAGAAAGGAGAAAACGCTAATGTCATGAGGTGAAAATTCCAGATGTTATGTCCTATCTAGAATGTCCCATGTTCGTGTGGACAGGGGCTGAGTTTGACACATGAACTAAAGATCAAAGTATAGGGATGAAGACAAAAATAAAATATTGGCTACTTATGCTTTTACATTTGGGCTCAGTGGGTGTAAGTATACTTTACACAAATTCAAATACACTTAATGTTTACTCATCCTCAAGTAACTGAAAAATCATATTTAATGTTTTAAATTTAGTATTTTTTTTTCAATCACCTATATTATGAAGTAATTAGTTTTATGTAATATGTTTTAAGTATATTGATGTTGCCATGAAATAGCCATAAGTTTCTGATGTGGCAATAAATAAACAAGTGGTTCTAAACCTTTCTTCTGTTGAATGTGAAAGAAAATGTATTGTAAAATGTAAAAACAAAAAAAAACAAATATTATGGAAGTCAGTGGTTAAAGGTCTATAACTATTTTCAAAGTTTCATTTTTTTTTGTTTTGTTTGTTTGTTTTTAAAAAAAAGGAAAAAATACAAGGTTGGGTGTTTTTTTTTTTTTTTTTGGTGCGAATTCTGCCTTTAAATCGCTTATTAATAGAGCAAATAACAGACAGAAAAGTAAAACTATTTTTTGTAAATGGGAAAGAGTTTTGTGGTTCCAGGCATGTTTGTACATTTTCGTTGCTATTATTGGCAAGCATATGGCTGACATTTTATTCAAGAACTAGTTTGAATAAATCTGTGTGGAATATCTTGTTATTGAAAATCCTGAGGTAGAAGAAACATTCACTTTTTAATGCGTTTGAATGTGAATCATTAGGAACTTCTTGATCTGATTCTGGTGGTCACGATCTGATCCCAAAATGATACTTAACTTGGATATCTTCCATTTCTTCTGCTGTACGTTTACATCATTACAACTTAACATTTTAAAGAGCCTCAATTATGAGTTTTTGAAAATTACTCTCCATGCAGTGTGCAACCCCGCTTTAAGTGACTAAAAAAAAACACCTAGCTGAGGGTTAAATCTGAAAATGCAACTAGTTCAAAAATATGGATTTTTATTTATTTATTATTGTTTTTTTATGAAACATTCAACTCTTTAATTATATACTCTTCGAGTTGTTTGAATGATTCATCATTCGTTTTCTCTCTGATTCATGCTTTCCTCTCCAAAGCGTGTATCTAGATTCAAAGGGCTCTAATTTTACCTCTTTTTCAAGATGTAAGAGAAATCTTCACAACAATTTTAATCCCTTTATTAAAACATTTTTTAAGCTGTAAAACCTCATTCTTGAGACATTTTGAGAAAGTTTAGGTTCAACATACATAATAATGCCTATAGTTTTTGCCTTTTTTTAGCTGGTTATTATGGCAGGCTACGTTTGGGAAATGCTTTAGATATGCAGGTGTGGGTAATTTTTTAAAAATATATTTTTATGCACATTATGAATTGATTACAAAAGATACCCATGCTGGAATATTCTTTTGTTAAATTCAACTTGACAATAAATCAACTGAATGCAAACGCATTCATTTAATTTTTATCCTAAATAAAATAAATACAATTATAGGCCTCTATATTTTTTCCCATGCTGTTTCTTTTTGGCTTTAAACTTTTTTGTTTTGTTTTGTTTTTTCTTAATTTCTTATTTAATTTTCTAATTAGACAATGTATATTCAATTACCTCTATACATTAACCTAATTGTATAATTTATAAGGTTAAATAAAGTAAAAAAATGATTACAGTGCACTTCTGAAATAAAAGGCTGTATTGCCCGATAATTTAATATCATATTCAATATGCTCGTTAGACATTGTTGATATATGAAATCATTGTCTTATATAGCCCTTGTGTTGCTTGGTGCAAAAAATGGCTGCTGTATCGTTATTCAACTGAATTTTAATTACTGAACGTTTTGTAAAATTGCATGTTGCATAGAAAATAATACAAGTTTATAAAAACGATTTAGTTGTCAGCATCACTTAATCAAATATGAGCTCCAAAATGTTCTATTATTATACCTTTCTGAAAAGATTTTGCGGTGTGGCATGTCTATATATTACTCAAGGGGACTTGATTATATTAAGGCCTTTAAATGATTTAATGGCTTGAAACTTGTTGGACTTGTAGTTTATTTATCACGTTGGAAAAAAAGGGTGTAAAATAACTGCATTTGCACATCTCTTGTGTTTTGTTTTTTCTGCTGATCTTATGCCTGTATGCAGGGTGTGTTATATGTATTCTTGAATCTTGGGGACAATTATGCCCCATAATAAAGTAACATGATAAATGATTCATATCTTTTAGGAAGCGTCTTCGTGTGGATGGTGTTGGGAGATCAAGGGAAACAACTCCAGTTCGACGTAGAGTAAGTCGCTCACCTCTTAGACGTAGGTCTGTATCACCACGTCGACAGTCTCGCTCCTCCCCTAGAAGGCGGAGTAGATCACCTCAGAGACGCAGGTGAGACAGTAAGAAATTTTGTGTTTGTCAGTGAACTCCAGTCAAGTCGGCTGATGTTAGATAATTGTGTAACACACTTCTGTATTTGCAGGTCTGTTGAAAGGGATCGTTTTGGCCGCCCCAGACCACGAAGGTCCACGTCTAGAAATCGTGACAGGAGGAGGAGGCGGAGCAGAGATGAAGACAAGTTCAAAGGCAGTCTGTCAGAGGGTATGAAAGCAGACCAAGAGTCTTCCTCTGAAGAAGTGTGAGTACACGAAATATGTTACAGCCTTCAGTTTACTTTAATTGTATGTGATTACTGAAGTTAACAATTGAAACAGTTCAGAAACATAAATTGAAAAACAGAAGCATTTCTTCCATATTATATTTCTTTCTTTTGAAGGTTTTTAAAATTATTGCCTTTTCAAATAAATCAGTTGTAATGAAAGACCTAGTTGTGTCACAATACTGAATTTTGGTACCAGTAATTTTTAATATTTTAAAACATTCGTTTAACATTTAAGCACTGTTGAGTGCTTTCTTAAACACCACTGATTGGCCATATTGGTCACCCCAGCCATTAAAAATATCTCTCTCTGTCAAAAAGAGATGCATAAACGAGAACACTAGTATGCAGTTAATGACGGTCATATCACTAGAACCAAGCATATCTACAGACTTTTTCTCCTTGATTTGTTTAACTCTAAAGCTAAGAATGTCATTACTCCTGTTAAAGTATGGAAGGACACAGGGAGTCAAAAAGCAGCTTGGAGTAACTCAACAGCAGTACAAATGATCTTGTAAATAGCAACTTAAACAACACACACTCTCTTTGCAACCCTAGAAAGGCTCAATAAATACAGATTCAGGCAAACAAACAGTGCTGGTTTTGCTTGACCTCAGTGCTGCATTTGACCATTTGATCACAGCGTACTTCCTTTTTTTTTTTTTTTTCTCATATCTTGTAGGTTATGAACACATGCTATATAAAATATACATATTTGTAGGTTATGTTTTTCCTATTAAAGGCTTCCAACAAGTGTTTTATTAGTTTTTTTTATTATTTTTTGATAATTACCAAACAACACAATAACAATAAAGACATGAAATAAACATAATACAAATGAAATAATTGTAATAATGAAAAATTAAAAGATGAAAATTTAAAATAAATGAACAATTATTTTTAATAAACTATTAGGGCATAGTAAAGGTTTCAATGAACGTACAAACAGACAGTGAACATATTAAGCACTCCACTGCTGCTCAGAATCCGCATTGTATTGGGCCAGGTGATCAAGAAATGGTGGCCATATATTGTAAAACTTAACAGGGTTACAAAGAACTCCATAACTTACTCTTTCCATGTGCCATATTTGAGTGAGATAAGTTAACCATGTTTTATATTGAAGAATATAATCTGATTTCCACAGTTTTAGAATGACACGCTTAGCTATAATCATTCCATAAATTATGGTACTTTGTACAAGATCGAATCCTACTGAGGCTTTTCTCCCATGTTTTAGTCTCAGTCTCTATGGCCAGTTCCTCTTGCCAAGCATTCTTCAAAGAAATTGTAGAGTAGCTCAGTTCTTGAGAAAGAACATGTACAAATTCTGAAATGACATGTTTAGAATCAGGTGAGTCCAAATAGTAACCTGTAAACCTTTTATTTTTCTGGCTGTGATTCAGAATTGAGTATCACATGACTTGCATAATTTATAATCTGTAAATGTTGAAAGAAATGTATTGCAGTGAGAGAAAACTTCCCTTTTAGTTGAGAGAATGAGGTAAACATTTTTATTAACATTTAAATCATCCAGGGTAACTATACATTTCAGCCTCCAAATATTGAAACTTGTGTCAGAGATAGAGAGGGGAATGCATGATTACAATATACTGGGGCAGTAGTAGGGTCTGATAATTTACAGCACTTCTTAATATTTTTTAAACAATTTGATATAGATAGAAACAACCTTAACTGATGTTGACAATTTAAATTTGAAAAGAGCAGGGCTGGCAATGAGCTGTTTGTAATTAATTTTTTATTTATTTATTTTTTTTTGGTGACCCCATTTACAATCATTTTGCCAGTAGACAAGGGTCCTTACATTCTCTGCCCAGTATGACCCAAGCTGCACGCGTTCCAGCTGGTAAAATTAATGCCACTGCCCTTGAAGGCATACTAGAATTTAAACAAAAAATAAAAAAATACATAATGCACGCCGTCTACAAATAATCATTGAAACAATGGTTGAAAAAAACTTACAAAAAGAAAAATAAATAAGAACTTTATATCCCCACCCCTATCCCACTGTCCCTAATTTCTAAAAAATAAAAATAAAAAACCTTAGTAAACCAATCTATCCGACACAGGCACCAATTTATGTTTCTGCCTGTGTTTTTTTTTTTCAGGTGCAACCAAATAATAAGATTAAATCAACAAATGCACAGTATAGTAAATTAAGCTCATATTGTATAGTGGCTTCAGATAGCAACAAAAAAAAAAGAAAAATTAGAATGAATCAAGCAAAACTAAAAGGGAACACCTAAATTCAAATTATAATAAGTGCCCAAACACATACTTGAATAAATGATCTCAATGAAAAGGCTTTGAACCATTGTGACAATGCAGCATTTAGTTGCTTTCATACTGACCTTTGGCCATCGGGCAATCCTTATTGTTAAGCCATGCAATTTTGTCATTTATAACAAATGTTTAGAGCATTTTAGAATTCTTTGAGAATGATCATTAGTACAGGAGTAAAAGCCACTATAATTTCAACTGCCATCATAGCAATACTTTAAAATATGTTAAAAGATAAAATAACTTTTTTATTGTGATAATTAACAAAAAAAAAAAACCTTTTAAACTTGTTTTACATAATTGTACTGCAACTATTTTTGAGAATTTAGTAGTTAATATATCATTGATCCATCTTGCTTTGTCAATGTTTAGGATGGAAGATTTTGATGCAGAAGAGGAGGATGAAGAGGCTCTGATTGAGCAGAGACGACAGCAGCGGCTGGCTATTGTACAGGTAGTTCATTACATCCGTACTCATGAGACACACAAGCTTTCTTTTTTTTTGAGAGAGATTATTTGATTATAAAATACTGTTCTCTCTTATATAGAAATATAAAGCAGGAAATGAGGACAGTAATTTGGGGTCCATGCCATCAGAGCCCAGCAGCCCTCAGAGTAGCTCCCGCAGTCGTTCACCCTCCCCTGATGACATCTTGGAACGGGTAGCAGCTGACGTTAAAGAATATGAGCGGGAGAATGTAAACACATTTGAGGCCAACATCAAAGCCAAGCACAACCTCATCGCTCAGGAGAAAGAAGGTGGTGTACTCTGAGAGTGTTTTCAGGAAGTGTTTCAGCACAACTGTTTGGAAAATCTGGGTATCGCAGAATGATGTTAAGTATCTATTACTTCATGTTTGACTATTTGCTGTCTTTTTTGCAGGAAACAACCCAAAGAAGCCCTCAGCACCTGACATGTTCACTGAGTCAGATGACATGTTTGCTGCGGATTTTGATGTAAGTTTGTTAAGCTCTTAGATTAAACCAGATTTCAATAAGGGTGCAATGGATACTAAGAAAACCCCACAGTTTATCATGCACATGATATTACAATTTGCGTTTAACAGTTATTTACGGTGGCCGGGTAGTGCAAAACAACATTACGAAGTGTTAAAAACTTTTACAAAGCTCGAGACAAATTTACATTTTGAAAAACATTTTTACCTATTATCAGACACGATTACATAGGAAAAACAATTTTACCAGTTTTACATTTTTACATTTTAGAAAAAAGTTAACAAGATGCAAAACACTTTTACAAGTCCCCAAACAAATTTACAATTACAGATTTCTTACAGAAAGGAAATATACCACACATCATAAGTGACATGGAATGTACCACACACACTAGAAAATATCAGCTCTTGTGTGACTTTGTAAACACAGGTTTTCACGAGTCTACAACTATAAAAATCATGGTTTGACCAACTGCGATAAAACATATTAGAGCTATTCTGAGAAAATATCAGCGTGAGCGTATGTAGAAACATGTAACCGCAAGTACATTCTTGAGTATGTACTAAATGAGTAGCTCAGTTGATACTCGCGCAGAACCTTTTGACTTGGGTTCGAATCCCATTGATAACATGTCAATAATAATTATTTCCTTACATAAATTTTGGTTATACACTGTTCTGCCACACAAATACTAAAATCAATAATGTTTACACTGACACCAAGTAATAAGAATATTTATTCGGTATGGGCATGTTTTGTTGCTGTGAAAAAGTGACGAATCTGCCAATCTGCAAACGTGAATAGAAAAGGGGCCTCCGTTAACACGGACACCAGTTAAACCGTAACAATGGCTTCATCCAGTTTACTGTTAAGAGTCCTCAAGCAGATGTTTACACCATGTAGACTTGATATCATGTCCATGATTACAGAGTACGAGTGGCCCTCGTTAAAATATTGAACGCATTGATGCAGTATGTCTGGTGTTTCCGTCTGGTCCACGTCCTTTATAAACTCCAAACACAGACCACAAGTAAAGCAAAACCGTGTTAAGCTGCTCATGTGTTTGGCACAAAACGGGCAAAACAACCCTCGACTGCAGTCCATGTTCGGTCACCGCATGAACTTTGTTTATTTTGTGTATTCCACAGCACGAATTTACCACTCTCACCAACAACAAAACTTTTCCGCGTGTCACTCCCGGCGTGTGGTACATTCCCTTGCCGTAAGGAATCTGTAATTGTTAATTTGTTGGGGGACTTGTTAAGTGTTTTGCATCTTTTTAATTTTTTTTTTTAAATGTTAATTTTTTACATCCTGGGTAAAATTGTTTTTCAATGTAATTGTGTCTGATGATAGGTAAAATTGTTTTTCAAAAATTAAATTTGTCTCGAGTTTTGTAAAAGTGTTTTTACACTTTGTAATGTTGTTTTGCACTTCCCGGCCACCGTAGTTATCAGCATGAGCTTAATGCTTGTTTTCAAAATCATTTATACACAAAACCCCACTGTGTAGCAGATGTACCTTCTGCAAAGTTCAGCTTTCAGCCCTGATCAAATACAGCAGATTATTAGGGGATTCTCAATAGCAAGGCAACATCATTTTAAGGTTGCATATCTAATTATTTATTAGTTGATTTTTGCTTCACATCCTTCATTTGGCCTACTATGAATTCTTCATCAGGCATATCCTTTGCATTAAGGCTGAGTAACCAATTTGGAAAACAAGCTAAATGTGATATTTAGTGTGATTGCAATTTATTATGCAAATAAATCTGTCATAATCACAATTGTAATATGGCCATTATAGTTGTCATGATTTTTACTACACTGTCATTTGTTTTCATTTGAAGTATTGACATTTTCACTGTGTTTTTAAAGGCAAACTTGATCAGAAAATGTTCATGGCACAATTATAATGGTCTCATGACAATCATGTTTATGACAGATTTATAACAAGTTATGTCATCTTTTTGTCAATTTGCCTTGTCAAGCCCACCTGAATAATTAGCCCCCCTGTTAATTTTTTCCCCAATTTTTTTTTAGCGGAGAGCAGATTTTTTTTATTACATTTCTAAACATAATAATTTTTATAGCTCATCTCTAAAAACTGATTCATTTGATCTTTTCCATGATTTCAAGACTCTTCTGTGTTTTGTGTTCTATACAGTTTAAAGTGACATTTAAGGGGTTAGCTAGGTAAATTAGGTTAACTAGGCAGGTTATGGTAATTAGGCAAGTCATTGTATAATAATGGTTTCTTCTGTAGACTATCGAGAAAAAAATATAGCTTAAAGGGGTTAACAATTTTGACCTGAAAATGTTTTTTTTTTAATTGAAAACTGCTTTTACTCTACCCAAAGTAAAACAAATAAGACTTTCTCCGGAACAAAAAAATATTATCAGACATACTTTGAAAATTTCCTTCATCTGTTAAACATCATTTAGGAAATATTTAAAAAAGAAAAAAAAAATCAAAGGGTTGCTAATAATTCTGATTCAACTGTAGGCTATATAGAAAACTTACTTTTTTTATAATAAACTAATTTTAATACAAATTTTAACAAGAAAACACCCTTAATGTGTTTGTCTTTATAAAGATTTTTATGGTAATGTTTACTTTCACCTTCTCATTTTACGGAAACTCCTGAGACAAATAAGTTTAATAATAAATCTATATAAAATGCTGCACTTCCTGCCACCTTTATTCAGCCCAATGATTTTTGGGACTTCTCTAGCAAGTTTTGTGCTCCAATGGTAGTATGATTAATTTGAACAGTCAGTCTCATGATCTTTTGCACCTAGTTACCAGTTGGCTTTTTGGAGTTATCAGAATTTTGTGTCTCTTGCATATCAGAGTGCCAGACTCAGGGCTGCAGGCATTGGCAAAGACTTTAAGGAGAACCCCAACCTCAGGGACAATTGGACTGATGCAGAAGGATACTACCGTAAGTCCAAAGCTATGTTTTTTTGCAAAACCGAACGAGTTGAAATATGTACAATTCATAATTTAAAGCCATCTCTTTTTAGGTGTAAACATTGGTGAGATACTGGATAAACGATATGATGTTTATGGATACACTGGACAGGGTGTGTTCAGTAATGTGGTCAGAGCTAGGGACACTGCACGTGCTGGCCAGGAGGTGGCAGTCAAGATCATTCGAAACAACGAGCTCATGCAAGTATCATACTAAATATCATCTATAATATTTTATATATTTTTTCTATATATTTTACCTGTTGTGTTGTTCAGTTCAGTGTAGTCCTAGCTTGTAGCAAGATATGTGTGTGTGTGTGTGTGTGTGTGTGTGTGTGTGTGTGTGTGTGTGTGTGTGT